TTTTTTTTTTTTTTTTAATCTTATTTGGGACCAGCAGTTAGCATAATGGCTATGTCGCTGGACTCCCACGTAGTCGACTACGTCCAGACCCGGTGGCTTAAAATTCATGCTGGGTGCCTGTGCATGCGTGCCCAAGATCCCGAGAGGAGAATAGAGAAGAAGGGATTGCGGTGTGGCCATCCCCTCTGGGGGGTGATTCCTTGCTTTCTATCTCTCTGTCTGTCTGGCGAGAGCACGCACCCTATAGCAAAAACCTCTCCAAAAAAATAATTTAAAAAAGAGAATAATTCTTACTTAACTTTATTTATTTACTTAGATTTGACGAGAGAGGGACAGAGTGAGTGAGAGAGAAAGAGAGAGAGAGCAAGCAATCTACCAGGTCCAAGATTCAAACTGTGATCGGCCATGTGGGAGTCCAGTACCTTTAACCAGGACATCAGCTGCCAGCCCCTCGCACCCACCCCATTTTTCTTAAAGAGAGATTTTTGGGGAAGGCAACCTCTAAGCTCCGTTGTCATTCACTGAGAGTTCTCTAATTCTATTGTGTTCATTCTTTAGAGAAGGAACTGTACTTTGATTTTGTGTGGTTTCTAGTAATTACCAGTTCAACACCCTTCTACTGGATAACTGCATTAGCCTCTGCTTAGCCACAAGGTCCAGGCCTTGTGGCTAAAGGCAGCAGTTATTTTAAGAATACGCCTCCCAGAAGGGTGACGTGTCTCTCCGCTGGACTACAAGTAAGATAAGGAAGCTTCCTAGAATCACGCGTTTTAGGAAGACAATACCTTGCAGAGTGTCTGGAGCAGCCTGAAATTCTAACAACTTCCCAGGTTTGGGAAAGTGGCCGGAAAGGGTTTTCTGAGATTACTTCTCTGAGCATGAGCGGAAGTCGCCCTTAGAGCTGTCCGCGGTGACTTAATGATAGGTGCCATATTCCGGACAGAGTTACCCGGTTCCATTCTGTTCTACTTGATGCACCCACAAGCGGGTGACTAGGTGACAAGTTTGTCTTCTTACAAGAAAATAGAGATCGCATTCAGAGAACTAAGCCTGGCTCTTCACCTTCCCATAGTAAAGATGGCGGCGCCCAGAACTTAAGCTACAGGCAACAGCACTTCCGCGTTTCTCTAGCGCCCTGATCCAAGATGGCGGACGAGGCAACCCGGCGAGTCGTGTCTGAGATCCCGGTGCTGAAGACTAACGCCGGACCCCGAGACCGGGAGTTGTGGGTGCAGCGACTGAAGGAGGAATACCAGTCCCTTATCCGGGTCAGTTGTGCTTCCTCGGCCGATCGTGTCGCAAAGGGATTGCAGAAAACTAGGTGTCCTCAAAAATAGGCTCCGTGTGGAAGCCCTTTCCGGTTTTTAAGTTTAACTTCCAAATCCACAGAAATGGGATGATTGCCGGTCTGGGGTACTAAGGAGGGATTGTAGGGAGGAGGCAGAAGAGACTCAGGTTAGAAGTACAGTGGGTCCAGGCCTTGTGGCTAAAGGCAGCAGTTATTTTAAGAATACGCCTCCCAGAAGGGTGACGTGTCTCTCCGCTGCAGGTGTTCTGGATGTGGGAGAGGTGGTCAGAAAACCGTCTCTGGAGCCCTAAATTTCAGCGCCGCATCTCTTTGCTCCTTCTTTTACTGGTTCTGAGGTAGTAACGTTACTCTAGGGCTGAAAATTCAAGTAGGTGTTAGTTGCAGAGCAGGAGAGCTGAGCTCATAATTAGAGAAATGAGCCATCTCTAAGCTAATATCTCTACTGTGGGCAAGGAAAATTGGTCTTCCTTGTAGTGGTCTGCTTCAAAGGCGAACAATTCTTCCCATGTACTCCATCACACACAGATCCTTATAATTCAGTGTTTAAGTAGAGACAGGAAGAGAAACAGCTAGGGTGTTTTGTTTTTTGGGAGAGATTTTTGCTATAGGGCGCGTGCACTCGCCAGACAGACAGAGAGAGACATAGAGACAGAAAGCGAGAAATCACCCCCCAGGGGGGATGGTCACGCCGCAATCCCTTCTCCTCCATTCTCCTCTCGGGATCTTGGGCACGCACGCACACGTGCCCGGCGTGAGTTTTAAGCCACCGGGTCCAGGATGCGAACCGCTGTCGACTACGTGGGAGTCCAGCGACATAGCCATTACGCTAACTGCTGGTTCCCACAGCTAGGGTGTTTTGATGTATGAGGAGAGATACTTCATCCAGTTTGGGGTTGGTCAGGGGAGACTTTTTTTTTTTTTTTAAAGAATTATTTTATTTAACTTACTTATTTTTAAAAATTTGATAAGAGAGGGACAGAGTGAGAAAGAGAAAAAGTAAGAAAGTATCCACCAGGTCCTGGACTCGAACCCTAGTCGGCCATGTGGGAGTCCAGTGCCCTTAACCTTACCTGCTGGCCCCTAGGGAAAACTTTCTAGAAGACATAGGTCTTGAGCTGAGATTTAAAGGGTAACCATGTTAGCCTGGGTAACATAGGATACAAGGACATTCAAAATAGGAAAGACAGTATGGGCAGAGACATGGAATCTAGAAACTGCTTTGTATGAAGAAACATCACAGTACAGAGTTGCTGGAGCATCAAATATAAAGCAGGGAGTGGTGGGGCCGGCAGGTGACTTGGTGGTTAATGGCTCTGGACTCCCACATGGCCGACCACGGTTCGAGTCCTGGACCTGGTACCTTGCTTTCTTACTTTCCATCTCTTTCTCATTCTGTACCTCCTTGGTCAAATTAAAATAAATAAGTAAAATTAAATAAAGTAATTATTTTTTAAAAAAAGAAAGAAAGAAAAAGCAGGGAGTGGTGAACAAGGCTGGGGAGATAGATCTGAGAATTTGAATTTTATCTTAAAGAATCTAGGATGCCTTTAAAGCATTTTATACTGAGGAATAACATACTGAAATTGGGGTCTAGCTCCATCATAGTTGTAGTAGAAAGGAAAATACAGTCAACAAGGATAATAATGAAGGGAAGAGACAAGTTAGGACGCGGTCATTAATCGGATCAAAAGAAAGGTGATGATCTAAACTAGGCAGTTGTGAGGCCACAGAGGAGAAGTAGATTTGAAGACTTCAGAAGGTAAGATCAGCAGGGCGTTGTGAAGGATTGGTGGGATAATGGAGAAGGAGGGTCAAGGTAGATTCCGGGATTTTTGGTTTGGGTGACTGAGTGAATGGTCAGTGCCATCTAAGATTGAGAATGTAAGAATAGAAGCAGGTCTGAAGGAGTATCATAAATTCCAGGTAGAAATGCTAAGTTGGGGGCCAGCAGGTCACATGGTAATTAAGGTACTGGTCTCCCACATGGCCAACCCTGGTTCGAGTCCCAGACCCAGTGGCTTAAAACTCATGCCAGGTGCGTGTGCGTGCATGTCCAAGATCTCGAGAGGAGAATGGAGGAGAAGGGATTGCGGCATGGCCATCCCCCCTGGGGGGTGATTTCTCTCTCTCTGTCTCTATCTGTTTGTCTGGCAAGTGCACAAGCCCTATAGCAAAAACCTCTCCAAAAAAGGTCATGGAGAAATAGAATGAAAGTATGAGCTTATGGGACCAGCAGTTAGCATTATGGCTATGTTGCTAGACTCCCACATAGACGACCGTGGTTCGAGTCCCGGACCCGGTGGCTTAAACTCACACTGGGCGCCTGTGCGTGCGTGCCCAAGATCCCAAGAGGAGAAGGGACTGCAGCGTGGCCATCCCCCCTGGGGGGCGATTTCTCGCTTTCTGTCTCTCTGTCTGGCGAGTGTACGTACGGCAAAAACCTCTCCCCCCCCAAAAAAAGTATGAGCTTACTGGGTCCAGCAGGTAGTGTGGAGGTTGAGGCGCTGGACTCTCACATGGCTGACCATGGTTTGAGTCCTGGACTTGACAGTTTGAAAATCACACACATGTGCACATGTGTGTGTGTGTCTAACATCCCAAAAGGAAAATGGAGAAGGAATTGCAGTTTGGCCATCCCTCCCAAAAGAGTGATTTCTCATTTTCCTTCTCTCTGTCTCTTTGTGTCTCTCTGGTGAGTACACACACCATATGACCAAAACCTAAAAATAAAAAAAAGAAGAAGAAAAGAAAAGAGCATTTTTTTGTTCTAAAACATTTTAAAATCCATCCATTTTTTTTTTATAAGATACATCTTCCACAAACTTTTGGAAGACCTCTCATAAGCGGCTGAAAGGAAGAAAGAGTAGCCAAAGAAGGGCATGAGTAGTGGACTGAGAGCAGACGCTATCAGAAGTGAGAAGACAACCTGGGTCTTTGCTATCTGCTAAATTGATTGGAACACCAGCATTTTGTTCTCTGCTTTGGGCAAGCCTCCTGCATACCAGCGTAGCCTTGCTTTCAGCTTTACTTGTGCCAGGAAAGTTAGGTAAAAATACAAAGTATTCACACTGCCCTTAACCCCAGCGGCACCCTCAAAGACCTTCTTCTCTGCTTTTAGTACGTGGAGAACAACAAGAACGCCGACAATGATTGGTTCCGACTGGAGTCCAACAAGGAAGGGACTCGGTAGGCAGACCCTCCTGGGAGGTGTGGGTGGGCGTTTTACATGCCTTAAGCAATTTGGTATCCCAAATCCCATTGCCTGAGCTGCTATGCCTCTTGTCTCCAATCCCACAGCTCCAGGGTTCCCCTAGTTCCCATTCCATGATTCTCCCAGACTGGTCACCTAAGACTGAGTTTGAGAAGAATGGGCAAATTGAACTGAGGTTTGGTCTTTATTACAGGTGGTTTGGGAAATGCTGGTATATCCATGACCTCCTCAAATACGAGTTTGACATCGAGTTTGACGTGAGTGTGATGAAGTGGGAAAATTAGTAAAAGGGGAGGTATTAGGTGATTGTTAAAAAGCTAACCTTTCTTAGGGCCAGCAGATGGCATAGCGATTGCATTGCTGGACTCCCACATGGCTCACTGTGGTTCAAGTCCCAGACCCAGTGGCTTGAAAACAATCACACCAGGCATGTATGCATGTGTGCCCAAAATCCTGGGAGGAGAATGGAGGAGAAGGGATAGTGGCATGGCCATCCCCCCTTGGGAGTGATTTCTCATGTTCCCTCTGATTGTCTGTCTCTTTCTTTCTGGCATGAGCATGCACCCTGAGGCAAAAAACTCAAAACAAAACAAAAAAACAACAAATAAAAACTAACCTTTCTTGAAGGGATCAAATACAGTTTTTTCAATGGGAGGGAAAAGTTGAGACTTGAAGCAAGCATAAGTTACAGTTATCTCCATATCCATAATCCTGGTATAAATGTGTTGTTTGGGGAGTTTGCTAAATACATCAGTTCAAGCAAGAAATATGTATGTGTGATTGGCTTCATTTCTTTCTATTCCGATTCTCTGTTTTAGTAAGCCTTTATCATTCCTCTAGATTCCTATTACATATCCTACTACTGCTCCAGAAATTGCAGTCCCTGAGCTGGATGGAAAGACAGCTAAGATGTACAGGTGGGTCTAAATAGGAAATGGGAAAGGGTCAAAGAAGGCCTCAAAGAACTCTGGAGGCAGAAGACTTTTCCCAGAGGATGCCAGCCTGGTGGGTCTTTCAGTCCCACCTCTGCATAGTTGGGCAGACTTTGGGCCCGCAGGTAGTGTGGTGGTGAAAGCACTAAATCCCACATGGCTGACTTAATGGTTTAGTTCCCAGACTCAGCAGCTTGAAAATCACTCTGGGTGTGTGTGCATGTGTGCCCAAAATCCTGAGAGGAGACTGGACATTATAGTGTGGTCATCCCCATTGGGGGGTGATTTCTCACTTTCCCTCTCTCTCTGTCTCTGTCTCTCTCTGGGGAGCTCATGTGCCCTCCAGCAAACTTTAAAAAAAGAAACAAAGAACTTAGCCCGCTTTATTCTCAGCTCTGATCACTAGTCGTCCTCTTGTGCTCCCAAGAGGCTGCTATGCTTTTCGGTAAAATTTATGTGTTAACACTTCCTCTTTTCACTCTTATAGGGGTGGCAAAATATGCCTGACTGATCACTTCAAGCCTTTGTGGGCCAGGAATGTTCCCAAGTTTGGACTAGCTCATCTCATGGCTCTGGGGGTAAGTTCGGTGGTGGGTGAGGAGTTAGGCCCTGAGTGGTACAAGGGAAGTAATGGGGAGAAAAACAAGAAATACGGCCCTTGGACATAGTCCTCCAGACTCTCTCTTCAGGAAGGAGGTTCTATGGATCAAGAGGCACTGACTGAGTGGTATAATCTCACAGGGTCTCCCTTGTCTTGCAGCTGGGCCCATGGCTGGCAGTGGAAATCCCGGATCTGATTCAGAAGGGTGTGATCCAGCACAAAGAGAAATGCAGCCAGTGAAGGAGCAAGCCACTGAGGCAGGACAGAGGGACTTTGACAGGCTCCATTCCTGTTCTTCTGTGCCTCAGTGTCCTTACTCATCTAGGCATCTCTCCCGCCCCTCCACCCCTAGTGGTTACTTAATATCTGCAGCAAGCATTGCTGGGAAAACCAACCAACAAAGAGTATTGCTACTGAGTTTCTAAATTGGGCTCACAGGGAGTGGGAAAGACCCTTGGAAGACCAAGAGGCGATGTATCTCCCAGGTGGAGCAGTGTGAATTCCTGGAGGCACAGGGGTAAGAGTGACTACATAGCCTTTTTGGAGACAAACCATCAATAAAAGCTGCTTCCTCTGCTGGCCTGTGGTTCTCATTGGTGGCTGTTAACAGAAAGTGAGCAGCCTAAAAACAGTACACATGAACAGCTACACTAAGTGAGGATGGAGAGGGAAATGGAGGATGATGCGCTGGTCGGGAGCTGAAGAATGAAAGGAAATCCCAGAGCTCGCTCCTCTGATGAAATCTGCCTTCGTCGGAGAGTGTGAGCCGTGCTGCGCCCTGCGCTGCCCTTCTGCTTTGGCTTGCAAGGATCTTGAGGACTGGCCTTGCAGGTTCGTCGTTCCCCGCTCTCCAGGGATCCTGCGTGGAGTGCTAGATGCTCCTCCAGTGGTGTGCGGGCTGCACCCAAGCCTGGGGCTTGCCGCGCTGGCACCCCTAAGGTCTGCGAAGGATGGGGTTGCCAGCCTCGCGGCCACATCACCATGCTCAGATCTGCATCCCTGTGGACCACAGGGTGGGGCGACGGGACCCTATTCTTCAGGGACTTGCTTTGGGGCGATACTTTACCAACCATTATGGGCAGGGCTGGGAACTAGCGGTACTAAAGTTGGCTGCGTTTCCATGGAGTCGGCCGCGAAGCCGTGGGGGCGGGCTCACGCACGCGCCAAGGGAGAGGGTGGGAGGACTGCGAGCGTGGGTGCGCAGGCGCTCTGAGAGTCGGTGAAGCCGGTGGCCGGTGGCCGGGCGGGACCAACAAAGATGGCGGCGGCCCCTGCGGCGGGAGCGCTCTGGGGGACACACGCGGGGCCA